ACATAGCTTTAAATTTTGTAGACCAAAATCCTCAGTTTTAAACAAAGCTGCTACAGGAGAGTAGTAGGATGTTGTATGTTTGTTAATGGGAATGACCAATCTGTATAATTTAATGCCCCTCAACTTTTATTAGCTGTTGGGGACAAACCTAAAGTCACATTTAAAAACAAGTAAAAGGTGCAGACTTTTCCATCTTGTCCTTTAAACATCTTTAGCCTGCATTATTTTTCCTAGTACTGTCTGCACCATTAGATGCAGCTGTTTCTTCCAGCTGATTGTATTCAGTCACTGCCAAAAACTTGCTGCTGGATACTTGATTCCCTTAATTGCCTTCCCTCTCTTGAAAATGAGTCAATTTTTTCGTTTGCTGTGAATTGTAAACATTATAACCTCAGTGTTCTTAATAAGTAGTTGCAGTATGTTATCTACACATTATATTGTTTAATCTAGTATTTTAACGATTTGTACATGTAGATATATTTTAATCAACTGCTTAAATAATGAAGTAATTGATTATACAAATCTGTTTTCATAGGTAACAACATTAGGACACTAGAACAGGTTTTTTAGGTAGTTTAGTGTTGCTGGATTCAAACACTTTTCTAAGAGTGTTTTCAGGTTTTTAAATATTTCAGCCCTACAAATGTTTTAGGAGAAATCGTTTTAGCATTTTACTCTCCTAAACATCTTTATAGCCAATAGCAAGTTAGGCAGCTAATTAGGAGTCAGATGTTCAACCATTTTCATGGGTCTGACTCCTAGCACGTGGAGTATTCCAGGCTGTTAGCTTGGGGAATAAAGTATCTAACAGTGATATCTTTTTTTTTCCTCCCCTCAGTATCCTAGAAGTATGTGTTACCTTTTCTTACTACCCTTCTTATCGCTCTTTGTACAATCTCTGGGCCGTATCATTTGTGATGTAAAAGCTAGCCCTAATTGTATTTGTTGCAATTATTAAATAATACTAATATACTTTGAATTAATTCCTCTTCTTTCATCTAGAAATTTGCTTTTGGATACTGCAAATTGGTTTCTTTGCTGGTTTTATACATTCATATAGCAGCTGGTTTTTGTTTTATATCTGAATAGCATTCCAGGTTACATTTTGTTTACACACATCAAGGAACCATAATCTTTACTTCTGTGACCTTATAAAGCTTGCAATAATTATAAGGCTTAATTTGACCAACATGTGTACAAGTTGTAAAATATCTTAACACCTTTCTTCGTAAACCAGTTCCGATCTTAAAGCAATTCATGGATTGTTCTTAACTTCTAAAGTGCTAATGAATTTTTAGTAGTTTTACTGAACTTGTATACGGTTGATTGAGGGTTTTTTTCCAAGCACTACAACAGAAATTGTCTTTTATCAAGAGCTCTTGGAGCATTGTTTTCAACCTTTTGGTCCAGCAGAGAACCTTTTTCTCATTTAGAAATACCCAAACTTTTATTTGGCCAGAGCAAGGGTGTTTCGTAAAATGCTTTGTTTTCTTGCCATAAAAACTCTAGGAAGCCCTGTTACGAAAGAAATGCTGTCAAGTGGCTTTCCTCCTGCCTTTATCACTGATGTTCAATAACCATTCAAAACTTAGAGGGTCAGGTAAGAGCTTTCTTAATAGAGCAGTGACATTATTTCTGGTTAGCCTCCGATATGTTATATTTGCTGAGAGCTCCAATGCATTTTTCATTTGATTTTATTTTGTTTGTTTGTTTTTTGTTTTGTGGTTCTATCATCTTTTACAGAAGGGAATTTTTTTTTTTAAGTTTAGTTTAACCAACTAAATGCTAATGGATCCACTGAGAGGTTATTCAGAAATGTTTGCTAATGTGTTTTGCTTTAGGAAAATATCCAGCATAGTTGGATTGAGAATGCAGCATGGCAAAGTGTTTTTCCAATAGCAATATTTGGAAAATCGTATCTGTGAATGGTGCTGTATGCTCATTGTTGCATATATGTGTGTGTTTTAAGCTACAACAGATTAAGTGAATACTTCAACACAGCAAAATAAGTACCTGAAGATAGAAGAACAAGAATGAGGAACTCTGAGTACTTGACATAGTATTTTGGAGCTTCAAAATTGCACCTTTACTTGCTTGATAATTGAGCTTGTTATTTCTTTTTTACCTGTCCTTTAAATATTGATCCTGCAAAGACTTGTGCATGTGATTAACACTAAATGAAAGTGTTCAGGCTGATAAAATTAGGCAGGTTCCTCAGTCCTTGCAAGATTCAGGTCTCTGGTTCCTTAATGTTTATATTCTTGAGATATATTTAATTTACTTTTTTATGCAAAACATATTTCCAAACATCCTGTAAGAGTTTTTGTTAGCTTTTCTTAATGGGATAATTTAAGTGGGAAAATTTAACTTTTATTGTGGAGTCAGAGGGAAGGACAAATATTGTGATGAATGAGGGGAAATGAATGGCAAACTCTAATACAAGATTTCATAAACGCTGCCAACAACAGACATACCACCATATTCACCAACTTTACTGCTATGTCACTTTTCAGTAAAAAATAAAAAAATACCTATTTGCTATGAGTGTTCCAAAGGGAATAAAAGATAAGTGTCTTGATTGCTCTAATTTTTAGCGCTGTAGCTGGTGAAATGGTATGAACTATCTTGCAGAACCCTGAATGCTATCAGTGTTTGGTGTTAAGAACCTGATTTATTTCACATTAGCACTCAAGGAAACACATTTGTTTGCTTATGTTAGTTACTGCATTGATAGGGACTGTCAACTGGCTCTTTAGTTAGTGTTATCAAGAGAAAGCTTTTTTTACGATCTCTTCTTAAGACATTACCAATAGTGAGGAGCTCACCTGAAACCTGAGGCTTGTCTTCATGCTTACCTGTCTTCATTGCTTTTTTATAATTATGTGCATTTCTCTGTCTGTGTCTGTATATATATCATTCACTATGTACATTCATACTTTTTTCTGCAGTAAGTTAGTGACTACCTAGGAATCAAAAATCTCAGTTGGGTCTTTGCTTCTGTGGGTTGAAGATATACCTGCCTGGTTCTTGATTTTTTTTTTTAATTTTTTTTTTTTAATGTACCATACAGTTGCCTCTAGAGAATGAAAATCCAAAGAAGCTAGAAGTGTGATAAATGAAAAATTAGAATAGTGACATCTGTGTTACATAAGACGTTCTGAAGTCAAATATGTTCGTCAGAAATAGTCTCTAGGAAGTTCATGTTTATAACTACTACTGGGAATCATCTGTTTTACTGCAAAGAAAAAGCTATCTTCTGTAAATGTTTTATTTTGAATCACTTCTTCTGCCTGAACAGAATTTGCTATTACTTGTCAAACCTTGTAAGATATACTTAATTTGTTTTGGTTTTTTTAATTTGCATTGTAGGTTTTGACTTTTGCCTATAAGCATGCATTGGTAAATAAAATGTACGGGAGAGGTCTCAAGTTTGCCACAAAACTTGCAGAAGAAAAACCAACAAAGGACAACTTGAAAAACTGCATTCAGGTAAGCAGTATTTGGTCAAGTAATAGACTATGATCATGCTGAGTAAACTTTTAAGAGCAAGATATAAGTCTTTTGGAATTTTTGATACTTTTTACATTTTAGAAACCACTAAATGGAACATTTTATCTTTATCCAGGCTTTGGTAGCTTGCCCTCCATTTTTGATAGTGATTTCTTTTTCTAGAATAACTCATTTGTGAGTAACTGTCATTTTTAGCAGATTTACTTTATGGAACTTCCTTTGGGGCATAAAGGAGGTAGACAGCTTAGCCAAAGATATCTGCATATTTAAAATCCTGTTATGTTGCGGTTTAACCACTATTATTTTTTACTATTATTAATCATAATTACTGTTAGTAGAATATAGGTGGAGAATTAATGGAAATTACGGTAGTTCCTAGGATAAGATTTTTGTGCATTGAGTTAAAAGACTGTCGATCATATGGGGGAGGCAGAAATTTCCCCCTTTCAGGACTAAGGAATTCAAAGATCACTAGTTCTCCAATCTGTTATCTTTCTATAACTGACATTTTTAGTAAGATGTTGATATCTGTGCAGTGTTCGTTTAGATTTAGATGTTAAAAAGAATGACTCTTTTTTTAATGTCTGCTTTTTTTCTTCAGCTAATGAAGTTGCTTGGATGGACTCATTGTGCAACTTTCACTGAGAATTGGCTTCCTGTCATGTATCCACCTGATTATTGCGTATTCTAGAAAATCAACAGTTGTAAAATTAAAATGATTTTATATGGGGCAGGATAGAAAAAGATAAGTTTGACTTTTTATTCGAACGCATGTTTTCATTACTGAATGCTGATTATTAAATTGTGTGTATTTATCAGTAAAGGCACCTGGGTACAGTTAATACCTGTTAACCTAACTCCTATAATTAGGGAGTTTCCTTATTGTGCATCCCATTGCTGGCAATGGATGTGCCAGAACTGCCAACACCAAGGATTTGGAATCAGGTTGGAAAGACTTACTGCATGCATGTTAGGTTCTGAACTGTTACTTTTAACTGCAAACCTGTAAAAGTTCTGTATTTTTTACGATAAACTGAATTTTAACATGTTTGATCTTAATTTCAGTTGTATGAAGGCCTTAAAGCTACTTCAAGAGTGGCTAAACTCTTACTTATTAGACAAAAATAATGGAATACGTGTATTGTTTGCAAGAGTTTACATTTAATTTTTTTTAAGAAAAATTCAACCTCTCAAACTGTTATGGTGTTTGAATTGCTGATGCATAGGTGCTCTTGTAAATCTTCATTTTGGAGTGATTTCAGACAAACTCAAAAATCTGTGTGAAGCTGAGTATCAAGGACAGACTGATACATGTATGAAAGTGCCAGACAGTTACATCTTGATCGGATATTGTAAAGCTATACATATATGTTTATTAATGTTAAAAGTATAAACCACAGCAGAATAAATGTGCAAAGCTGAAGATCAAAAAAACACTATGTGCACTCTGATACTTTAAAAGATTTTTATAATTAATAAAAATACTGAAGCTAAAAATTGTATTGGTTTCTGGATTAGTACATAAAAAAAACTTGCTGAAAGAAAACACCTTACAAACAAAAGTTCAGTGCAGCCCAGAAGATCAGTGCTTTTTGTTAAAGCCTTGTTACTGACTACTGCTATGAAAATTGTTCCTTCAGTGAAGGGAAATTGGTCTGTTTGAACAGGTCATATGTATCAACCAGAGACAAATTGCCGTATCCTTTGCCTTGCTAGTTTTTTCAATACTTGCAATGCAAAACTGAAATACAACTGCGACTTTACAAATGTAAATGCACATAAGGTGCAACATAATCCTGCAAAGCATTCCAAACTGTGAGGTCCTGCCACTAAATCAAGAATAGTGATAGTTTTCTCTTTAATTTTCTCTTACTGTGGCTTTAAGCAACTTGACATTGGATTCTGGAAATTCTGCTAGAATAGTTGTGTTAAATATATTGGAAAGTTTTTCCAAAAATTCGTAGTCTGTAGTAAATCTGAATTTATTGGCCCATAGTAATACTGTTCCTGGCTTACAAAAATACACCATTGTTGCTAGCAGGGGATCCAGAGCTGCATGATGGTACACAACATCAGTTGCCAGTATGAAATCATAATGGTAAGTTGATACAGGAAAATCTTCGTTGAGGCCTTCTCCCCATACCAGTTTTCTCACTTCAGGTTTGTGCATATTCATGTTTTGTGTATTTCTTGAAATATTATATGAGAGATTTTCAAGAACTTCAGGCAGATCGGTAGCTGTAACATGAGCTCCTAAAGAAAACATGAATTTGTTTCAATTCACAGAATCATCAAGGTCAGAAGAGACCTTCAAGATCATTTGGTCCAACTGTGAACCCAGCTCTGCCATAATCACCCCTAAACCATTTCCCCAAGTCCCACATCCAGATGCCTCTTGAAAACTTCAGAGATGGTGACTACACCACCTCCATGGGCAACTTATTCCAATGCCTAAACCACTCTACAGTAAAAAAAATAAAACATCTAACTTTAAGGCCATTTCCTCTCATCCTTTCACTCGAAACATGGCAGAATTCATAGATAAATAGTTAAACATATATAAAACTTTATCTACATAACTTCTCCAGCCTCCCCCTTGGCAGTAACTAGGGTAGTTAACAAAAGAGTTTTTTACAATAATTTTCATTTAAAAAAAACCAAACAACCAGTGACGAAGTTTATTTCAATTGTTGTTTCATTTCCTTAAAGTCACAGTGGCAGGACTAAATCATCTTTCACAGAAAATCTAAAAGAAAATACAAATTTACCAACCTAAGATACAGGCCACAATGGAAAGCAAGCCTGTTCCAGCACCAATTTCCAAAACTTTTTTGTCTTTGAGGTTGAATTGTTCTTGATTTGATTCCAGATATTGAGATAAAGCCAGTGCCTAAAATGGTTAACACATATCCATAAGAGGGTAACAGCTAAGTTGCACAAAAATTCATTAGATGTTTTTATGCAAAGGTGTTGGTTTTTTTAGTAAAATGAAAAACACTGAAGGGTGTAACATAAAAATGTAATATGGAAAGAATTGCGATGTTCTGTTTTTTTATATTAAAAAATTAAAGCAGTTTATTTTTAATTTACTTTTATGGGATATGGATTTGCTACACATTTCTATGTGAGTCTTCTGACAGCTCAAGATACGCAGTGGTAAAATGTAAACCATACAGTCAGAGCACCAAACGAGATTTAACAATATGTAAAAAGTAATGTTCTGGTTTATGATCATAAATGTTATGCTTTATTATTGCTATTATCAAGTAAATTCAGACTTCAGCAGAGATTTTTGGAAAACCTGTTTTTTTTCAATTTTTTTTAGCAAAGGAAATATTAAAAATTTATTTACCAACTTGACACTTGTCTTGGTAATCATATAAACTTTAAAAAGGAAACAGCACTGTATGGAAATATTGTTTGTCAGGCCTTTGTAAAGATCTTATCAATAGAATATAAAGGGGCTGTTTATAAACAACATAAACTGATGCCAAAGAAACTGTCTTCCCCCTTTTGCTTCTCTTCTTCAGAGTTGTGTTACTATTTTAATTCTTGTGCTTTTCATAATGCAACACTGTCTACCTACTCTGAGAAAGCTGACAGCTAATAAATCACTAGTCCAATTTGTGCAACCTCTCCATTTTCTTGGATAGTTGTACCATCTGCATTCTAACACCTGATTAATGTGCGAATTGATGATCGGACATGTCAAAATAAGATACTGTTTCACCCACACATACGCTTTCTTTCTATTGTTTTGAAATTGTCTGCCATTTTTTTGTGAGCTTTTTAAATAAATGTGGATCTGAAAATTTTGAAATCCTAATTTTCATGTCTTTATCGTTGACCCTCTCTTCCCTCAAAGGCAGTTTTCTCAGTCCATGTGAAATTCTGTTTTTAAGAGCAGGAGAAACAGAGATTGAAGAACTGTTTGCAAGTGTGGTTTCCTATACTGTGATGGAGCTGTTCCAGCCTGTTCTTTAAAGGAAGCATGTTTAATTGTTATAACCTCCTTTATTTAATCTCTCACAATTTTCTTTTTCAGCCTCCTTTTTGTACTGCTGATTGCTTACCTCCTAGCAGTGACTGATTGGAAACATGAAGGAAGCTGAATGCTTCTTCCTCAGTTCCCTTTCTGAATTTTTTTGAACGCCTGCATCCAATTTACGAATGCTTTAATGCCATAGTCCTTTTGGTGTGAACTGGCAAATTACCCTAAGGCAGAACTTTCTGCTGAAGGTCTTTGTCCTGCGTAGGGAAACCTCCATTGTCGGAAGTATCATCTAAGAAAGCTTCCTTAATGTTTGTGTGCTGCTGTCATGGTTTACTCTTGTGTCCTGTCAGCTTTCTGCCGTGTCATGCACTTACCCCCGGCCATACCACGGCTCCAAAGTGTTCTATGGACTCCTGAATGATGATCCGGTGGCCAACATATGTATAGTGCTCTTTATCGAAGTAGTGCGAAACTCTAGGAACCCAGTTCTGCAGTATTTTGAGAGTTACTGGTGAGCCTGTGAGAGAAAAGTTGAAATTGGTGTCTTTATATGCAACTTGGTAAAAAGTGTCTTGCAAAAATAGTGTGTGGGCACACAGACTAGAAAGCTGTCAGGCCATCGGCCTTGAATTTCAGAATCATTAAGGTTGGGAAAGATCTGGGAGATTGTTGAATCTAACCCTTAACCAACCCAGCACCTCTGTGTTCATCACTAAAACATGTTCTCAAGTGCCACATCTTTTAAACACTTCTGGGGATGGTGATTTGATCACTTCCCTGGGCAGCCTGTTCCAATGCCTGACCACCCTTTCAGTGAAGACTAGCTGCTGTCCAAAAGCAGACACTCTGGCTGACCAGGTAGTGAAAGAAACAATGGTCATTTCCTGCCATTCTGAGTGTTCACGTGGGCAATTTACTAAATCAAATATAAAGTTGTTCTAATTACAGCTAGAAGACTTTCAGGACCAAGTTACCTTGTATTTTGGGGTAAGATAGTTCATATTGAGTATGAAGATAGTATGTAGGTGTTTGTGCTGTAGATTTCATTTGTGGGGTCAACAGCTCTAGAACATCAAATGTCTTTTTAAATAAGAAGAGATTAGAATTTACCTCTTTCATTGAAGAAAACCTAACTCTTTTTAGTGGTTGTTTTTTAAGCATCCTTCCACAGAAGGAGAGTTGTAAGATACTCTTTAAGTATGTGTTGACAAAACAGTGTGGTTCAGCAAGTCAGTACTATGGCTGTGCTAGTGTGTCTCATCATAGCAAGCAGGCTCATGGGTGAGGCTTTTCAGAAGAGCTGTGCTGAACTGTTCCATCTGATCTCACTGAAAACAAGGACACAGATCTGAATGACTGTACTGTTGCTGGAAGCCTGTTAGCAGGATATGCACAGAATTAACCTTAACTGCAAAGAAAAATTTTGCTCTGGCTAGCATGGATTTTAATTGTTACCTGCCAGGAATCCTTGGTAGCTGTTGGAGCAGTTTAGCCTGTTGAAATTTGTAATACCACAGCTTCAACAGTGCCAGCCCAATTAATGCATATTATAATCATATCTCTGATTGTAATTGACAAATAATTCTTAGATGTCCAAGTAAAATTCAGAGACCTTTTTAAATATACATCTGAATTATGGAGATAGTAATTTTTTTGTAGATTTAGTCTGATAATATATGCAAACATAAGGAGAAATGGGAAAATTGGATGTCAAAAGGCAAAGTGACATGGTGACATCTACTATTTGAAGACTGACAAAAATCAAAATAGGAACTGCTAGCATGCCATAGCAATTGCAGAATTTAAATGGGATTAAACCTGTGTCAGATTCTGCATGCTTGGAGCTGCAAGTGCAGTTTTCAGAGTCACACTGCTCTTCACAGGTTTCTTCTTCCTCAGATTGGCAGTCCATTGCTCTTTGAATTTTGTTGGGAAATGGTGGCTGCTGTGCAGAGATCATAGCAGAAGAACTGAAACAGAAGGGGAAAACTAATGTAAAATCTTGCAGGCACTCTCTTTGTATGAGACATGACTGGAAGAAGACATGAGTAGTTTGGGTGGACTTTGGTGGACTTTTGGGGGTTTTTTTCAGTGATGGTTTGAAGGGACAAGATGACATAATATTCCCACTCCACTGAGTGTTATGACCACTTTCTGATAATGCAGTAATGCTGTCAGAATTTTTATTTTATCACATTTATCATATTTATTATTGTGTTTATTTTAACATTTATACAGACTCTTTGCATTATGTCACTGAATTGATGCCACTAATCAGTCTGAAAATTGAGCTACTTTTATCAATTGAAGCAATAACTGAGAAAGATAACTGTCTTTTAACATCTATGACTTCTAATCTGTGCAATTTACTGTTTTCCAAAAAACTTGGGACTTGGCATTCCTGAGATAAAACTGTTTCATTTGCTGCAACCAGTGCTCTTGATTTTGTCTCAGCATCCAGTTACCTAATCTTCCCTGCCTTTTCTTGCAGAACAGCTTAATGAATTACTCTGAAATGTAGTGAACTGCAGAGTATGCAGATAGCAGTCAGGAAATCATTGCAGTGAGCAGTTTGAATCCATAGGGCTTTTTGGAGAATTGTATGTGTTGTGAATGATTGTGCATCCTCAGTGTACAGGGCAGCACCCAGCCTAAAAAGGAACTGATTGATACCAACTAATATCAATAAAAGCAGGAATAGGACTGGATCTAAATTTACCTGGGGAGTAATATGTCAGCGACACTTCTTGCTTGACTGGAATTTTATTCAGTGAAGCACCAGCCTATATCTGTGTGTGTATATAGATAGAAAAATAGATAAGGTATACACACACAGTAAAGAGCAAAAAAAAGGTTCATAACCTGCTCTGGCCAGAGGCTGTACAAGCTCACCCTTCCCACATAACCTGACAGCTGGAGTGAGCTATGTTTTTATCCATGATGAAAACATTTATCCATTCTGCTCATTCTTGAGACTGCATATTTGCTCTCTCCAGCCCCAGGCACTGCAGACTAAGCGTTGTATAATTTGGGTTGCATCATACTGCAGGAGGCTGTTGTGGATATCCTGACCAGAAGGGGTAAATGTTTGGCAGTGACCAAAAAGTTCAGCAATGCCTGCAGGTAGTTTTTTAAGGAGCAGAGTACCTGCTGACTTGTGTGAGTGGTTTATTTGGACATGATATTGACACTATTGCAGTTTTACTGATACGTGATATATTCCTTATTGCTGCTCTGTTTATTCACAAGGATGGGATTTAGATTCTAATTCCTCTGACACTGCATTTGCTCAGTCTTGACAGCAATTTTATACTGTTTCAGAAAAGAGTGCTTTGAAGGAAATTGATTTCTGCAGATTTTGATTTTCTTTTCTTCAGAGGCCCTCCATCTGGCTAGTAACAAGTTCTGGCTGTGCACTTTTTGTGTGTGATTTCAGATGTGATGACAGTATTTAAGAGGCTGAAGTTAATGCTGCAGTTACGGCATTCCCTGACGAGTGAATTCATCCATGTCCACGGGTCACACATGACATTGTGCCTCCTTCCAACGACAGTGGTTTCTCATGTAATCAAAAGTAGACTTCTAGTTTTCAGCAATACCTCCTTCATGCCTTGAGCTAGAATAAAATCTGGTCATGTTTAAATGTTTTAGGAAATCTCTGTGAAAAATAAGACTTGGGCAATTGGGAAGGTACATAATGAAATGAGAAGAATCTGTCAGAACTGGTGATGGCTAAAGCCAGAAAACAGTTGGTTAAAGACCCAGTCTTCTTAACATTTCATGCTGAAACATGCAGAGCACTACATTGCCATATTCCGGGAGTTTGGGATGAGTGTTTTGTTTTGTTTTGGTGGGGGTTTTTTTGTAAGGGTCTTGTAGCATGAAATTTGTGCTATATAAATGAAAAAGCCAATCCTGAAATTAAACAGCAGGAGGAAACTTTATCTTGTCCAGTACTTTTCCATGTATAAAACCAGAAGGGCTTTTTTAATGAGTAAACTGTAATTTGTCAGTCTGAGTAGAAAGTGATCCCTCTGTATTTTTTTTCTTTCCTTAAACGAGTCACTGCAACAGGCCACAATTTCAGTTAGCTGTGGGTAGTGGTGAATTCCAGAAAACAGTTTGAAAACATGCTTAATAAATACAAGTTTGTTGATAAACACTAGGCACTCTGCATTTGTATGTCATCTAACACACTGAGCTCTGGTTTATCACTGGGGCTTCACGATGCTATATTAATATCTTATCATAGGTGTAGCTTTTGCTAAACAGAAAGCAGTTTATATGTGTGTGTGTATATATATATATATACACATTCTATTGCCATAATTATTATGTTATATATTTCATAGGAGTTAAAAGTATGGCTTGTTTTTTTAGCTGCAAACTCTACAGGACAGTTTTAGTCATATAAATTCAAGAATTCAAGAATATTAGTGTCTTGGCCTTATTGATGCATTTATTTTATCATTTTAAGTGGCAAACTACCTGAAGACTACAGGTGAGTATTGAGAAGCTATTTGCAAATAGGTGGTTGCATTTTTACACCCTCTATATGTAATATGGTCAAGTTGTTGATGCGCTTCAAGAATTATAAAAAATATTTCTTACTGGTTTGATATTTTTCTGTTCCATATTTTACTGAAAACTATATATCTCTAAAAGAATTTTGATTTAATAATGTTGCGAGTAAAATCTGTTCCCTTTGAAAGTGTTGGCTTTTTCTGAATGTGAGCAGCCAGTTTTTTTCCAAATTGATCCTGTTGGGAAATAATCATCTAAATTCTTTCAGAGTTTTAAGACCAGCATTGACTTCAGTAATAGCCTTAAGCTGTTGTGAACAAAACTTACAAAATCACATTTGATTTCTTCAAAACCTAAGGAAGAAAGAATAATTCATAAAATTATATCTATTTGACAATACCACATAGAATTAACAAGGTAATCAAACATTTAAGGGCAAATTGTAAGATGATGATAAACCTTAAGGTAACACAGTTTATCCCCTATAATAATAAACTTTGTGCCTCTTAAACTGTTGAAATCCATTGCTCAGAAAGAGCTTTTCAAATCTAGCTATGTGGCAAAAAAAAAAAAAAAAGTAGATTATTGAGTGGTAATGTAAACACAATTCTGCTGAAATGTGTTTCTCTCACCTCTACACAAAGTTGCACAGTGTACTCTGGTTTAGTCTGAAGTATTTGGGCAAAAGCCAATTTCATTTGCTCACATGGGAAATGTAATTACAGTGTGTTCTTTGCAAGACAGGGCTTAACCATAGACTCTTACCACACAGTAACATCTCTGTTTCTTAAGGTCATGCAATTTTCTCATGTTACATTACATTAAAAAAATACATTACATTAAAAAAAAAAAAAAAACCAAAAAAAAAACCAGTATAAATGCTAGGAAATAAAGAAAATGCCAGTGCTAGGAATATCAATATAAGAAACTTATATGATATTTCAATTCACAAGGTAAATGGACCCAAATACTGAAAACCAGCAGTGACAGTCAATCCTCACAAAACAGAAGGGGTTAGGAAAGCTGGATTCTGCTGGCAAACAGAGCTGACCTGAAATACAAGAATTCAGGCAAAGGTAATTCTGTTGTTAGTTAGCAGAGAACACAAATGAAGTTAGCTGAGCAGCTGTGTGGGTACCTGATGTGACAGGGCACGGGAAGTTTCCTGTGGGTGGATGCATGCTCCAGAGGTTTTTTATACAGGCGTGCACCTGAAAAGAATAACTCTCCTCTCTGGCCAGTCGGATTGCAGGCTATTTAGAGTAACATTACCAGGCAGCGCTCCAAGAACTTAATATGTTACACTAAACTCTTCCACATTTGCAGTACAAAATGAAAACTCTTTTAGACTTTGAAGTCCCAAGCATACTAACCTTCAGAAATAAGGTTCAGTTTCCTCCAACCTCTTGTTCTGTTTTTGCAGATGGAGTGCTCCCTGTGTTTGCCTTAGGTCAGCAGAGCTGAACCAAGCAAGCAACTTACTGTGGGCAAACTAGAGCATAAATAACGTGTGTGGCCACTTGGCAGCAGAGTGCAGAGAAAAGTTTGTGAAGCTCCTACTGCCAGGAAAAGGTCAAGTCTTACTTGCCCTGCTGAGTGTCTGGCTGGGGAAGCTCTGGGTACCCTCCCCTGTCCTGAGTCACAGAGGGTATAGGGAACTGACATTCCTAAGGAAACAACAACTTTCCCACTGTCTTTAGTGCAGGTCATAACCATAGGAGATATTATATCCACTGAAAGAGAGAGTGCAAACCTGAAAATACCAATTTAATCAGAAAATCTTGCAGTTACTTTATTTAAAACAGGTGGATGTTGTAGATGTTGTAGATAAATCAAATGTGTATTCCTTTCATGGTTCAAGAATTTGAGAGGCTTATATGCATTTATTCCTTTGCTGCCCTTCTGCCCTCCTTTCTCCTTCTTGGAAAAGTTTCTGTGGAAAGAAATTTAACTAGAAGACAGAAAAAATTAAAAGCAACTTTGAAAGTCATAAAGCTAGAAAACAACCCCTGGCTAATTAATGAACAACTGAAGGCTGGCAATAGAAATGGGGGAGGTGGGAGGAAATGTAGATTTTTAACTCAATGTATAGGCATCTGCATTTTTGGATGAAGAGCTTTTGAATTCAGGTAATGCTCTCCTGAAGAGTGGCAGAGGGAAAAAATGAACCTTTCCTGTCACTGTGGCTGTTTCACGCATTAGCTGCTGTTTCTAGTAGTCACACCAAGTATAGGAGACACTTGGCTCTGCATTCAGATGTTCACCAGTTTATTTCCTCTGAAAGTTTATAGTTAAAAGATACTTTTTAATTTATACTTGGGAGCTAGTATTAAGATATTAACTGCATTAGGTTGATATAAGCACTGCATTTCACAGACCCGCCTGACTTTACAAGTACTGCAAATGAGTGGTCCCGAGCCACGTCCTGTTATTGGAAATAAAGGAGCAAATATACTGCTGTTGGAATGACTGCCATAGCTTTTGTTAAGATGTGGTTCTTTTTTAACAGGCATGTTCCCACTGTCATATTTATTGTATTTGTCACCAGGGGTGAATGTAGCTCAGACTGGTGCTGCTGTCAAAGTTGTGTCCTAAGCTTTGGCAATGGGGTTGATGCTGGACATAAACAGTTTATTTTTTAAATTAAATCAGAGGAACTGGCTTACTCTGTGTTATATCTCTTTTAGAAAGGATGCCAACTGTATGGACAGTGTTACAGCTTATGACTGATGCAGGCATGGCTTAATTTCTTTTTTATAACTGATAAAGGGATCGACACTAATGCTCTGAAATGTAGTGTTAGTTGACAAAGATTTACTATGTAATTTCTATAAATACTTCTTGTTCTACACTCTATCTCCAAGCACTTCTTTAACATTGAAAATGTGTGTTGTCTGGAGGGGTAGCCCCATGGAATTAAAATTCCTTCTGACTTCCATGAATAGTAAGGCTGGGGAGGGTACAGCTCCTCAGTTCTATGTGCAAAAGAGTGATTTTCAGTTATTAACTCAACATCAAATTCCACAAAGCTCTGGATTATGCAATTGGCTTTTCTGTTTCTCAAAGCACTCATGGGAATTTTGCCATTGGTGGAAGACAAAATGCAACAGGCTGAAAAATGCAATGAAGTAAAGAAAACTTCAAATATTTTTAGAATGTATTTATTTTTAGTATGAATTGTGTAGCTTGGGTAGGTTTGGGGGGGGTTAAGCCCACTTATATGAAACCTAATTGGTAGTGTAGGTAGTGTACAGGCAGAGTAAAACTATACTCATATTATTGGATTATAGATTACAGTGATTTAAATTTAAAACAAATTTAAATTTAAAAGTTTCTCTGCTGTTAAAGGTAACAAGTTCAATGTAAAATAATGTAAAATTGTTAAAAAATCAGTTAGAAAAATTGCGAGAGAGAGATAGGAAAATGTTATGGTCATTTAACCCATCAGGAGCAAGAAACCTGCCAGATTTGTACCAAAAGAAGGCAAGGTTAAACCAGAAAAGTTAAAAGATGTACTTGTCAATGAATTTAATAGAAGCAGAGCACCAGGATCAGATGGTGGCTACCCGGAACTCTGCAGTTAAGTTACCAGCTGTGAACCAGAGCACGGTGCCTGCATCTGAAAGTAGGCTTGGTATCAAAGCACAGGAAATGATACAAATGTGAGGTGTACGTCTAGGGGGGTTTTGGACGGATCTAGGGAACAGTGGAGCGAGTGAGTCTGACATCTGTGTCAGGGAAACTGAGAAGAACAGCAGTGTTGGTGTTAGCTGATAAGTAATAGGCATAGGATGGGAAAGGAAGAAGGTTTTATATGTTCTTTGACGGTATCTACAAACATGTAGTTCAGGGTCCTCCAGTTTACAGCATATGTGAATTTCCACAACCTTTTCAAAGGTCACTAACTTAAGATCTTTACAGGAATTGAGCTTTGCTGGGATAAGGAGTCATTTTGCTTTTTTTTTAATAATTTGTTAACAGCAAGAAGGCAATAAATGGTCAGGTTTACAATGACCCAGGAGCAACTGTGCTGCTGAGTGTATTCCTAAGAGTTAATGGGAAATGTAGAAAATAACGTGATGACAATAATGTAGAATTATTCAAGACCGTGAAAACAAAAATAAGCTGCAGAGTTCCAAAAGAATCTCTTGACATGTTACGAGAGGTGATAATATGATAAATGAAATTCAGTGTTGACAAGTATAACATAATACACAGAGACAGCCTCTAACCACCTGGGAAAGAGATCTTAATGGCACCAGAGACAGCTATGTAAAAATACCTCTGCAAAACCACATTGTAATCAAAAACATAAAGAGATTTTTGCATTTATAAGGAAAAAAGCAAACAAACCAGGAAACAAAAAACAATGGAAAAGAAACATTGTTTTTTCCACTCTAGGAATTCAGAGATTGTCTCATGTGCTCAGTGTGTGCCTCAAGTCCTTGATTAAAACATTCAGGGTCCTGAATCCTACAGAGTTTGCTGAAGTGGGTGATCTGGCAAATGACTGGTGAAGAATGACAAACTCACAGCTCTAGAGTATATTCTCCTCATCCTTATTGCTGGAGGCATCTGCTGGACTTTTCTGGATGTGGAAAGCAGGTTTGCATTCTCCAGCTCACAGGGACTTCTTAACTGCAGTTGGCAGCCAGCTAAATGTCTACGGCATTGTCTTGACATTACCTGTGCAGTTTGTTCAAGTACAAACAACTAAGGGAAACTTCCTGGTCAGTGTCTATGACAGGCCCCTGATCAAGGCGACCCTACTGATGAAGCCTTTTTGCTCCAGCTATAGGAGGCATCGAGCTCACAAGCAGAAAAGAGCTTCCCACTGTTAGCAAAGATCAGGTTCATGACCACCTGAGGAACCTGATTGTGCCTAAGTCTATGGGACCCCAGGAGGTACATCCCAGAGTCTGAGGGAATTGGCTGCTATAGTTGCCAAGCCTCTCTCCATGACATTTGAAAAGTCAGGTGAAGTCCCAGGTGACTAGAAGAAGTGAAACGTTGAACCCACCTTTAAAAAGGGTAGGAAGAAGGACCCTGGGAGCTACTAACCTGTCAGCCTCACCTCCGTGCCTGAGAAGATCATAGAGCAGATCCTTCTAGAAGGTAAGATAAGGCCCGTGGAGAACAGGGAGGTGATTTGGGATAGCCAGCATGGCTTCACCAAGGGCAAGTCCTGCCTGACCAACCTGGTGGCCTTCTGTGATGGAGCAACTACATCAGTGGACAAGGGAAGGGCTACGGATGTCATTAATCTGAATTTCTTTAAAACATTTTACATGGTCCCCCATAATATCCTTTTCTCTGAACTGGAGAGAGATGGATTTGATGAGTGGACTGTTTGGTGGATTAGGAATTGGTTGGATGGTCACAACCAGAGGGGAATGGTAAAGGGCTCAGTGTCCAAATGGACATTGGTGATAAGTGGTGTCCCTCAGGGGTCCAAACTGGGATCAGTGTTACTTAGTATCTTCATCAATGACACAGATAAAGGGATCAAGTGAACCCTCAGCAAATTTGCAGATGACATCAAGCTAAGTGGTGCAGTTGACACACCTGAAGCATGGGATGCCCTCCAGAGGGACTTGGACAAGCTCAAGAAGTGGACCTGTGGGAATCTCATGAGGTCTAACAACACTGAGTCCAAGGTGCTGCACCTGGGTTGGGGCAACTCCCAGTGTCAATACAGGCTAGAGATGAACAGATTCCCATCCCTGGAAACATTCAAGGTCAGGTTGGACCTTTTACTGATCAACCTGATACAGTAAAAGATGTCCCTGCTCATTGCAGGGGGGATTGCACTAGATGACCTTTAAAGGTCACTTCCAGCACAAGCCATTCTATGATCTTTGGTGTTTGGCACTTTCTTATCCTATTCCTTATGGCTCTGGAATGACTCCTTAGCTTGAAGTCACTAATACCCAAAGTTAATTGTGGTGGCCCTCCTAAACAAGGGCAGCCAAAGGCGAAGGATAACACTGAACACTGAATATGATCCTCAAACCACACACACTGTTTTCATTGTTTTTGAAATAAGAAATCCTTTCTTATTGGTAGAGAGCTCCTTTTGCTCGCCTAGCTGAGGTAACTCAAGGATGGTGACTCAACCACTTCCCTGGGCAGTCCGTTCCAGTGCTTTACAGAAACCTTTTTATTTTTTTTCTTTAGCTGATTAAATGTTTCATGTCAAGTTAATCAGGCCTAACCTTATTTTCGCATACAATCAGGTGACACA